ATCTGAACATTATGACTTTCCACCTTTCACTTTTTAACCGTATTTAGACAATGTTTGGATGTAAATTATGTCCTCTTTTCAAAGTCTTTTAAACCAATTTCTGCTCGGTGGGTTTTTCCTCTAATATAACTAGTGAACAGATGGGAGAAAGTCAGTGACATCTATCAGACTGGAAAGGATTATAAAGCCATTTTCAACCTGGCTTTGTGACTCATCATCCGATAAAAACAGGTCGTTCCCTGGAGGGGTGGCTCTACCAAAACTGCTCCTAAAGTTCAGCACTGACTCCACCAGGAGGTAGAACTGAAGACGTCGTGTGTTTCAGTTGAAAAACAATAATCTTCAAAAGGGACTGAGTTAAAAGACATTAGCAAAGGATTGTCTGATGCAAGTTTGTAGATATAAAACACTTTAATGTGTCAAAATATACGCTAATACTCCTAAGCTGAGCAGTAACTCATAAGAGATAGTAAAAAAAAAAAAAAGAGTTAGGCGTACTTCAGCTATGGAGTAAATTTTGTTCCACTATTGTTGTAAATTTGTGACTTCTCAGATTTAAATTTTCAGAATATGATTTTGTTTTTAAATATTTCCTTTTTTCAAATGTATCTTTGTTAGATTAAGTTTTACAAATTATGATTACAAACTGCGTTTCTCACATTCCCTTCACTTCAACCCCAATACAAAGACTCGCTTGTCCGATAAAGCGTCCATGCAGACCAATAGAAATGCGTCTTTGCTTCTCTCTCCAGGGGAAAGCCTGCCTTCAGAAGTGATCTGTAAAATTCAATTTGAAGAAAATCAAATCTGTAAAACTCAATCTGAAAAAATTTAATACAAAATATATATTATATGAAACAAGAAAATACATTCGAAAAAGATAAAACATACAAAAAAAAGAAAAAGTTCCAATTTCGTGATTGCATTTTTTTTCTCAATTTTTTTTTTTTTTTTTTTTTTGTTTTGTAAATTTCCAAAATTGGTAGATACCCTTCATGCAACATAGATGTATAACATCCCCCACTTTATTTTCATGATGTAAACAATCAAATACAGATATTTCCATCAAACCTTGATCTTATTTTTCCATCAACAATTGAACAGACCTCAGCCACATTAAGAGAGGCAGTAACCGTCTCCTCATTTTTTAGAAATTAAATCACAAACACATTAATCAAGAATCACAGATAAATAAATTAAATAAATAAAAAAATCAATGATTGATTGACTATTGATCTCACAGTGCAGAAATTAACTCTTTACATCTGCTCAAATAGTCAAAAAGAAGAAAAAGGTGCCCAGGGAAGAATATATATATTTAAATAATTATTTACATGGGTATTTATATAGATGGATATTTATGTATATATCTATTGCACTGGGTGTCAAATATAAAGAAACAGGATATTGCACAGGGTACTAAATAATAATTGCATATTATACATTGCTCAAATTATTGCTGTTGTAGTGTCGCATTGTAGAGTCTGGTTGCAGCAGGGATGAATGACCTACAGTAGAGCTTCTTTTTATAAACAGGGTGTAAAAGTCTTTCACTAAATCAGCTGCTCAGCTCCTCTACAGCCTGGTGCAGAGGGTGGAAGGTGTTGTCCATGATGGATGTAAGCGTGGACAGCTTCCTCCTCTCAGCCACTTCCTCCACTGAGTCCAGAGCGCAGCCTGGGATAGAAAAGGCCTTTCTCACAAAATGAAGTTGAGAAATGCTGAGATAAAACACATAACCCTTTGTATCTATTTTTGTTCCCTTAAACAATGCTCTGTTAAGCCTACAGCGCCTGATCATTAGCCTACCAGTAGGTCTTTAATCTTTGGTTGAATTTATGAGGTCGAATGTATTAAAACTCTTTCTTACAAATAAAAATCTGAAAAATGTGGCAGGCATTTGTATTTGCGCCCCTTCCATTGGATACCCCTATATATGAATCATATGAATCATTGATAGAATTCACCTACTTGGGATTTTTCTAATATCAATTATTTTTCCACCTTATGACCCCTGGAAAATAATGAAGGTTTTAAAGGAAAAAGAGTAAAAATCTGTTAGCTTTAGCTTAGAAATGTAAAAAAAAAAAATGTAGTTGCCAATGTGGCCACCACCAGAGGGAAAGCATTTGCACTGATGAGCAAATCACTCCTGGAAGACGATGGTCAGTCAGCGGGTTGGCGCCAACCCGCCTCTCCCATATGGTGTTATCACCTGTAGGTTTGTGGAGAGTTGGCAGGAATGGCGGACATATGTTGCCTACAGCCCTCATGTTGCGCGTTAGTCATGCCTCTGCTAGTTCCTCCCTCTTTTCTTATATTGGAGGTTTTCTCTCATTGTTTGAGCCCATATTTGGTTTATTTTTTCCATTTTCATCACCTCCCGCTGCTTTTTAACCCTTTTCTCCTTGATTAAATGTCCATCCCAATCACTTTTTATTCCTTGCCTTTGTGGGTTTCCTTGTCATCTGTATCCTGGCTCTAATAACCGCCTAACAGAAATAACCATATGGGAGAAAGCAACCCAAGAAGACAAGGAGTCTGTTTCCTTCTCTCACTACCCTCTAACATACCCGTCCATTCTTCTAAGAGCAGAAAAAGGCCGAATGGACTGGTAAATCTGATAACAAAGGTATCTGTTGATTTAGACTTCTGGGCTGCTTCAAGCATGCGCTTATCTGTCCTTATCCCATATCATGAAGTTTGCAGCCGATATCCGCATGCATCCCTCAAACGTTTTCCAGCAGAGCGAGCCTCTGGACGCTAGGCTTGGTACCTGACTGACAGGTGTAGCCGAGAGGAAAGGCAGCCCATGCCATCTTTCTTGGTGATAGCATCCGCGCTCTTTGAACTCCGCTCCCAATCTTCCCCACAAGCAGTTATCTGCCAAGCTTTTAAAAGCCCCGTCTCCCAGGCATTCTGCTGTCTCTGTAGGTATCACATTTCACACCTCAGTAAATAATTGCCGATCAACTCTGTGATTATAGCGGTGTAATTAAGTCTTACACATACCGTAGTGTTAGGCGAATCCTAATGAGGTGGAAATCTACGCTGTTGGTTTTTATTCCATGGTCTCGCTAAGAGACATCCATCCTCCCGGGATGTAAAGTAGAAGAAGGCGAAAAAGAACAATGTTGTCACTCCTTTCCTCAGCATCTCTCTGCTGCTCGCTCTGCTCGTCACCCTCTGGAGTTTTTGTCCCATTTATCCTTCTTTCATCGCAGACAGTTTGTCCTTTAGCTCTAGAGTTTTTTTCTTTTTCTTGCATCTGTAATGATGGTCTCTTTACACAGAGGTTCTTCTCTTCATCCTCATCTGGAGTGATTTTGTTATTTTTTATGTTTTATTTCAAACATTGCATGCGCGTTTGTGTGCATCTGTTGACAGCAGCGCGTTGAAGGCTGCTCCAGCTCTCTGTGAGCAGCAGCAGCCTGCCATCTTTGAAGCCGGAGCAAAGCCGGCTTTTTTTGCCCCATTTCTATCAATCATTCATCACCGGAGGCGCTGGCTGTTGGTGATTAAAGCTTTGCTACTGCAGGGTAGCATTTGAATTTGGATATATAATTCATAGTCCTGGGTACGGCTTGCACACGGCGTACGATCCTGCGTACGCGCACGCCACCGCCGGTTTTATGCCTACCTACAAATAAGTTACAGGGTTTTCAGATTGGAGAGCAGGAGAAATCAAAGTGATTGGTCAGGGGAACACGCTGTGCAGCTTGTGTCTCTGAAATGTTGCCCTGGGAAAAAAAACCCTGGATCTTTTTTTAACAGTTTGTCACATTATGACGGTGAAGATTCTCAGTCATCCAGGTCGTAGTCATTCCAAAAAAAGTTAAAAAAGCAATCCTTTCGACTTTATTTCCCAGTTTGAAGATGTTTTGCTTCCCATCCCGGAAGGTTTTTCAATTCAAAATGGTTTTATACAGTTGAAACCTGTATAAAACCTCAAACTCAACGCTATTCCTGACGTTTTGAATTGAAAAAGCTTCCTGGATGGAAAGTAAGTAAATAATGTTTATTTATATAGCACATTTCACAGACGTCACAAAGTACTTCACAAAATTAAAATAGAAATAAAATACATTTAGTCACAGAAGACATGGTTTTAAATGCTTGAATAAAAATGCTTTCTTAAGAAATAAGGTTTCAGTTCACTCTTAGAAACATCAATAGAATCGAGTAAGCGCAAGGAAAGAGGAAGATCGTTCCAGAGCGCCGGAGCGAACGCCTGAAAAGAGCGATCTTCCCTGGTTCTGTAACGATTGCGAGGGACCATGTGCTGGATCTGGTCCTGAGACCTCAGGCTCCAAAAGGGGGGTATAAGGACACAACACGTCTCCAATGTAGGAGGGAGCCTGACCGTCTTATAGAATCTGGAAGTGAAACGTCTTCAAACTTGGAAACAAAGTTCAGTGGGTTTTTTTTTTTTTTTTACCTTCTTTTAGTCACATTAGGACCCAAATTATAAGTTGATTATCATGAACCCGCCTCCTTCCAGATGAGACATGGCAACTTTATCAGAGATGATGCGGATATTTTCAAGGCAATGACAGGGAATATTATTTATTGAGCTGATTTATAAGATGCAGACATTCAAAATTTCCCCTCTTTCCGTGATGGGCCCCTTGCTGGTCCCATAAGATTCCTTTTTTAAACACATTTTGTACTGAAATATTCTTTCTCTCATGCTTTTTTGGACATTAAGATCTAAAGAGAAGCGTCATCTCCTGGTCAGACCCTGTGATTCAGGAAAAAGGTGGAGTCAGATTAAAAAATATGCAAGATGGGGTCACTGCAGTGGCTGGAAGTGGGCTGCCATTCGGCCATTTTGAATGCTACTGTATCAAATGGAGGCAGGTTTCTGTTTTATCTGGCTGGGATTGATTAGAACCAGTAGGACCTTCATATTCATCATCTCTAAGGTTTTATTGATCAAACATTTCCATCTTTGCTCAGTCATTCATCCATTCCTTGCTTCCTCCCCTTCCCTTCACCAGAAACCATCTCTGAACCGGCAGACCGACCCACCCCCAACCCTCCCTCCACCACCACCGCGGCAGCCACCACCACCCCCGCCCCCTTCAACCCTGACATGGTGTTTGCCATCCCGCCTCCAATGACGGCCCAGCCGGGGCCCACCGAGCAGCCCGTGACCAACGCCGTACTTTCCACCTCCACCATCAGCCGTGCACGATCCAACCACCGTCAGCCCATCCTCACCGCCGCCATCACCGCCACTCTCAGCAGTCCTGCCCCCTCCACCTCCGCACTGACCCCTCTCGAGGGCTCAGGCAGCGGCGAACCGAGCGGCGACGAAGACGAAGAGGATTTGCGGGATGACGATATTGGTAGCGGCATCCAATCAGAAGCCAGCGGGGCAGACGAGACTGGCGGTAAATCACTGCTCTTTCACTTCATTCTCCATAATCCTCTGAGGGAAGTGTGGGTGGTTTTTGTTTGTTTTTTTATCTCTGATGGGTTTGGGCAGATTCAGAATCAATCATTAGCTGACATCATAACGCATTCATATCATCATCTGTTAATTAGAAACTAAAAATAGGCTGCAGGCTTTTGTAATTTTATGCAAATAGTTTCTCAGGAGAAGAGATGTCAGAGAGGCAAGGAGAGGAAATCTTTGCCAGGAGTTGCTGTTAGCATGTTTTTCCCACTTGCAAAAGACGTATATCTCCATTTCAGACAGAAAAGAATGTATTTGCATGGTTCACTGTTGCTTCGTCACCCCTGCCTCTTTTTATTTTTCCTCCCTCCCTTTCCAGCAGCACTGCAGCTCCCAAAACAAACCCAGGCTCTGTAAAATACACTCCCGGCACGACAGATAGATGAAACCGTCGGGCCGAATCTGTGGATCTGTGGAGCCTGACCTGACAGGCCGATGCGACTCTGAGGTCTCGCTGCGAGCTCGAGTAGAGCCGGCGCACCTTGTCACATGACTGGTCTCGAATCTTTTCCGACACGCCCTCCTGCCTGTATCAGCCAGCGGCTGCTTTTCCAGCCTCCTTCAGGATGATAGCTCAGGCTTTCCAATTAGACCTTTTTTATTATTTTTCTGATGTTGCGTCCCATCCATCCATCAACATCGCTTGACAGCTCGCAGTGACGGCACAAGACTGATGGAACAGCATGCCCCAGTGTCTTCCTCCTCCTCCTCCTCCTCCTCCTCCTCCTCTTCCTCCTCCATGCTTGTTTGTTTTTCCCAGCTTTAAAATCTGTGTATATTTGACGTACTTTACAAAAGTCATCAAACCCCCTTTTTATTAGGATTTTACATCATGAAATACATAAATGTGAAGTGGAAGGAAAATAATGAATGCTTTTTCCAAATTCAGAATAGAAACTAAATTCATTTAGTATGGCTGTGATTGGTTGAGTCTTTTAGTTCATGTCGCTGCCAGTTTTGTGCATCTAAACGCTGAAATTTCCTCCTGTTTCTCTGAGCTCTGCTTTAGGCTCAGCTCCTTATATTTGCATGTTTTGAAACCCAAAGCAAGGCTTTGTTGGGCTACTGTATAAAACCTCGAACTCAACGCTATTCCTGAAATTTTGAATTGAAAAGCTTCTGGATGGGAAGCGAAACGTTATCAAACTTGGAAACAAAGTCCAGTGAATTGTTTTTAATTTTCTTTTTTTTTAGAATGGCTCCTTCTAACTTCACATTTTTATTATTGTTGTTTAAAGGTAATCAGAAAATCTTTAGTAATCTTAAGTAAATGATGGCTGGGATTTTTCCTTTTCTCCATTTATCCTGATTTGTTTCATTTATTTTTATTTCCAGGTTAAAACCAAAGCTCTTTTTTTTTAGTAATGAGATTATTTCTTTATGTAAGAGAACTGGATTTATTTCTCTCATTATTATAACTTTTATGTCAAAGTTTAAAACTTAAACTAAATAGAAATTACATTCTAGATTCATTTTATTAACATTTAAAATTTGATGGGACTTTTTGGAATCATCATGTTGACAAAAACTTGGTTTAGATTTGATCAAAATCCTTGATTAGATCTAAATTATAAAGTTTTGTCCCAGATTTGTCAATTTTATTTTTGAGCTTTGACTAGGCCATTTAAAGACGTTTAAATGAAGCATTTTAGCTCTGGCTGTAAACGGTAAATAGGCGGTAAACAGGCGGTAAACAGTCAGTGGCAGCCTCCAACATATTTACAGCCCCATGTTGAAGCATAGATTGGTTTGCAGTAGACCTTGAAGCCCACTTCCAGACATCTTTTCGTTTTCTTTCAACTTCTCCTTCCTTCTTACCATAGAGCCAGAAACTTAGACAACTTTTATTGTCTTCAGAATTTCATTTTTTTACAGCTTTCATGACATTTCCATTTCTTACAGAGGCTGTCCTGGTTCTCCGGTGCAGCTTCAACCCCGACCTCCTGTCTTGTTTCCTTATGATGCTTGTTTTTAGCAAAGTTTTGTATATAATAAACCTGAAGGCGAGTGGTTAAACGGTATTTTAGGGCTGTTAGAGAAAAGGAGGCTAAGTCCAATTTCCTTCCATACACTTCTGATTCTTTTTGTTAAAAAGAAAAAAAATAAATCTGCTTCCTTTCACTTCATATTAATGTTGGTCTACCGTACAGAATCTCAGTTAAATACTTTGGATTTAGGTGAAAGGTAAAAAAAAAAAGGTTCAAGCAGCACGAACGCAGTATGAATACCGTGTCAGTGTGAACAAATGTGTAAATAGGCCCTTTTCAGACTTTGAGAGCACATGAATGACAAGCACCCCAAATATGAACTTGATGACTCACAGATTGAATAATGTCGTCTCTTTCATGTGTCTGTCTCCCTCTCTGTTTCTGCTCCTCTGTAATCTCCACCCGTCCGTCTGACGTGCAGCTATGTGACGGCTGTAACGCTGACACAGACGGCCCTAGCTCTCCTGCTCTGCCCCGTTTCTCACCTCTTCAGGGTTCTGTAAATCTGCCTCCCCCTTCCTCTCGTGTCCCCTTGGAGTGAGACCTTGAATTAGGACGTCCCCGCCCTCTGACGTCTTGATGGCTTGTTTAGCCAGGAGCTCTTTCCCTCCACGATTGTTTCTAATCTCCACACGGCCATAAACGACCGACTCCAATGTGCGAGGGGACGTCTTTCTGCGGTGACACAGTAGACGCTTTTATGTCCTAATGTTTCAAAATGACCAGATATTCAGTGTCGGTAGGGTTGTAGTTTTATTTTTTTTCTTATTCTTCTGTTTTTTTCTCCTTGAGGAGAACTGCCAGCCGGTTATCACACACCCCTATCATTTAAAGTGTTCTGTGTGTGATGTGACTGGCAACAGTGCCCATTAAGGGTTTTCTGCCTGACGAAATGAGTTCCAGCTGTAAAATCAGAGCCCATATAATCACCCATGACAGATGCCTCTTCCAGCACTCAATCACTGGTCAGCGGAAACACATAAACACCTGGTGGAGCACGAGTAAACTTGGGAAAGAAGAAGTTTCAAGTTTCTGGAGAAAAAGAAAATCTAGGAGAGAAAGAAGAAGGGATGATGTATATTCATGGACTTTGTTAAAGTTTAATGAATTTTTCATTGGAACTTTGTGTCGCCTGCAGGTCCGACAGCGGCAGGTTCTGCTGGTCCCAATTCTGAGGATAAGTCCTCCTGTGACACCACAGAGTTCGGCTGCTGTCCCGACGGCAAGACCCCGTCCAGCACCCCAGAGGGCACCAACTGCCCCCGTAAGTCAACACGCAGGAAGATGCCTTCCTCTTCCTCCTGCCTGCTCTATTATTCCATGCTTTAATTGGTAAAACATGTTTTTCAGGTGCATCTGATTAAATTAATCTATTGACATGTTTCAAACACATTTAGCTCTTATAACATAGATCCATTTATACAGAGAGGAAAATATATTTTTTTTTGTGGGGAGTGTGGGCCTAGTGTCTAGAGAAGTGTGCTTGTGCTCTTAAAAGGTTGCAAGTTTCCGCTTCAATCCCCAAAGGCTCCTCTCTGGGATCCTGAGCAAAACCCTTAACCCCACACTGCTCCCTGGGGGCCACACAATGACAGCCCACTGCTCCTCAAGAGGATGGGTTAAAATGCCGAGAACAAATTTCCCCCATTGTAGTAGAATAAAGGAATTTACATTACATAGTTCTGTTAATCTCAATAAATACTATTGAAAACGCCAACTTCTGCTCCTCCAAACAACAAACAAATAAAAAAAGTATTATAATGTTGTTGTTTTTTTTGTTCACAGTAGACATAAGAATTGGTTGCATATATAATTGCGTGAGTGCAGCCTGGCACAGATGATATAGCAGCTAATTTGCCATTGCCGTTTCTTCTGGTTTCTTCACCATTGGCCAAATATTCTGTGAGGTTTAGTTTTAGTAGAATTCCCAATACACGCTTTACTGGTCAATGGAGCAAATATTGAGGCTTTTGTTTATTGTGGTCTGGATCCAAACCCTGCTGGAAGATATTAGCTTCTCCATCAAGCTTTCTCTGGTAGATTTCTGCTTCTACTTTGGACTTCAGAAAACAGCAGAAACAGCTGACATGGCTCCACCAACCCTTCTTTCTGGACTTTAAGCGTCTTGGTTTTCTTCCTCTCTAGTCTTCTTCCAGACCACCGGTTGTTTTAGATTAAATGCAACATTCATTCTGAAATGTAAAGTGATCTTTGCATCCGTGGGAAAAAAATGCAGCCTTATTTTGCCTTTGATTAGGTAGATACTTCTACACCTTATAAGCCTCTTTCAAACACTATAGAAATGTCTCTTCTTTGCGATCCCTGTTTCTTGCGTCCTTTCAGACGCATTTTTTCCTCAACTTTCCAGTGCTATGTTTACATATGGTAGTTTGCAGACAATTAGCTTATCATGCAATGAACCTTCAGGGCTTATGCTCCTTTTTATTTCTCTCTTTGCTAATTAAAACAACTGGGTCCTTGGACTTGGAAAACGTTGAAGAGCCTGATTTAAGGGAAAATGTGAATAGGAAACTTGTGGACTAGGTTTTTAAATCATACTTTTAGAACAATAAGTACAGTAAAAACAGTAAATAAACTAAGAGTCAATTTTAAATTAACTTTAATTCATATAATTTGAGTGATAACTGAGTGATACACAACGATATAATGAGAAAATTAAAATAAAAATAAATAAAAATTCTTGATCATTCTAATGATAAAAAGATGAGACATTTTTTTAGCAGATGCATGATGTTGACAGATACGTATTTAAACACAGTGTAGTGTCTCAGTCAGTTGGAAACAACTCCTGGATCGGTCACATGACTCTTGAAACGACACACGCACCGATACTGCGTTTTGCTCTATGGGCTCCACACATGCACCAACAAATCGATGTTTCTGCACCCATCACTACTTTTAACAATGACTTATTTCTAATTTGAACACACCAACCGTAGTTCAGGTCTGTTGTGACACCCCCAGTTTCCTGACACTCGAATCTTCAATTTATTCACCTTTGAAGGAGATTGTTGCCACTATCAGGTACAATAAACACGAGTGCTACAGAGAATTATGTCATCAGGAGATGTTTATTTAGCCAAAGCTGATGAGTTCAGCCCCTTGCAAACACTGGGCTGACCTTCGTGTAGAAAGTTTATGATGCTGCAAATAAAACAGAAGAGAAGAGATCTATAAAATAAAATAAACCACTTCAGGTGTGAACCTGTTGTAGAATCAGTTGGCTTCGTGTTGAGAGTTTGGGTGATTACTGCCACCGCCAGAAGGGGGAGACAATCTGTCAATATTTAAGTCAGATCCCCTTTTAGTTTACGTCCTTATTTTATTATCAGGCACACAAACAGTTTTTCGTTTAAAGCTGAGCTAAAGGACGGAGGATTTTTCTCATCGCACCATCTGCTTCGAACAGCAAGAACAGGTGCTCTGCTTTGGCTCTGCACCTTTTTTGATTTATATACATATATATGCTCATATATGTAAATCTAATTAACAGCTTGCTGATAATCTTGTTGGTTTTAATGAGGTTCGGTTTGTTACACCACAATTCAAACGTTTACGTCTGACCATCATGAGTAGGAATGCTGTTTTGATGAATAGCTTTCAGTGCTGATTTTCATATCTTATAGGATATAAATGGCAAGGGAGGCTTGCAAAGTAGTATTTGGATGTTCTTTTGTTAGCTGCAAGGAGTAAAGAAACAACCAAACATAAAACTTGAGCTCGTTGCAAAATGAGCTATTTTAGCTAAATTTAGTTAATAAATAGAGATTCTTATAACTTTTGTTTTTTTTAAGCTTTCTGGCAACCTATAAGATCTCTGGGAGTTTATAAGAGGTTGTTTTTGTTGCGCATTTCACAAAATGAAAACAGAGGGATCTTAAACGTACGTGTTTGTTTGTTAAAGTTCTTTAAAAAACCAATGTGGTCGGATACCCAGCAGGAATCACGCTTTAGCTTATCGCTAACAAATCGTTTGTTGTTTCTCTACATCCTGTTAAGTCAACTCGTCCGAATATTAGTAGTTATTGGATCATTTCTGTATCTTTGTCAGTTGTTTGCTGTAAAATCCACCAAGAAGCTAAAATCATCCAAAGATTTAAATGATGACAACATGTTGCACCTATGATGCAATACTAGAAAAATGAAGTATTTGTCAGGGCTTCATCTTTCTCATGTCCTTGTTTTTTTGCCCCCCCCGTGCTTTTCCTGTAGCTTGCCTCCTCTGTTTTCTTTTCCCATATTTGTCCTGTGATGCAAACAGATACTTTACCTTCATCTATCTGTGCCACAGCTCGTCAACCCCCCCCCCGAGCCACTTCTGGCTCTCTTCTCAGCCCTAGCCCAGTCAATCTCAATCCAGTCTTGCATCAGCTCTTTGCTCTTTGGAGTGGAGTGCAGAGAGACTACCAGAGGCCGAGCAGTGCCGTTGTAGCAATCAGTGCTTTCTGCCAGAGCCAGTTCATAGAGATAAAGGGCTTCTTTCTCCCTCTTTGCTTCTCCAGCCTTTCACTCCCTCCAGCTCCTCGTCTCAGTCCGTCCCCAGCGCTGGCTTATTTGACGGATTGTGAAAAGGGGGATTCTCTCTTGCTCCCAGGGGAGCTCTAGGTCATGACTTGAAAGATCCGTGGCCACAAATTAGCGCTGGGACTTGCATTTCTGCCATGTTGGAAGGTAGCAGAGCCTTCCAGTAAACCAGCAGAGCTTTACGGCCCCAACATTACCTCAAGACATGACCTTCCTTGTTTGTTTTGTCCGCAGGATTTATAGCCAAACAGACGCCAAACCATGAGGGGAATTTGTTGAACTTTGGCCTTGAGTAAAAGCAGTTTTTACCTGAAGGATGAGAGTTATAACAAATCACCCAAAGCTTGTAAATATTTATCTCTGCAAACAAAGACAGCACAGCAGCGATCAATACTTCATTCAGCTCAAGCTGTAAGAGCCATAAAGCAGAAAAGATAGAATATGCAATAAATAAGTACAGTTCATAGTTGCAGTTTATATTTTCTTTCATTCTTAGTTCATGTCATTGTGTATTTCATAGTTCTAAGAAAACAGTTATTGATATAAAAAATATTTGATGACTGCCCCTTTAAGTGATGTAACTGAGAACGTGCAGGTGCTGTTTTGGCAGAGCTGCATATGGCATGGGAGCATAAAGTTTTCTTACCGTGCGTCTTCTGATTTTGTAACCCTTTTATTTCTAAGTAAAGACATCAAAACTTTAAGAAATTGTCATGTTGTGCGAGTGAAGAAATTACTGTGTCTGCAGCTCTAAGTGGTATTTGGGAAAATGAAGAAAGATTGCCACTACATTTAGTAAGAAAACTGCTCATGGATGGATCAGGAGGAGCTGAAAACCGAACTTTTTGGATGCTAACAAAGAGACAACCAGCAGTTAACACCTCTGAACGGTCTGTCAGATTGGAGCATCAATCTGGAGAGGATTAATTCAAAGCAAACGAGGTGGTAAGCCTTCTTAATTTACATATGAAAAAGGACAGTCTCTGGAAATATGAATGGACAAATTGCCATTAAAGACTCGTTTTGCTAAATGGAAGGAATCTACAAGCTGTGCTAGTATAAAGCCAAGTGAAGCCAAGAAGCTAACGCTAGCTAGCTACTGAATGACTTGCAGTTGAGCCCTGAAGCTAATGCTATTTAGCTACTCAGTGACTTGCAGATTCATGCTAACTTGTTAACTGAAGCCTGAAACCGAACTTTTACGGAGCTCTGTGTGTTTTGAATGCTGTGAAGCATACTTTGGATGAAGAAGAGTGTTAGTGGAATACTTTTTATTCATATGCACACAGTTTGCACTCGGCTTTATTGAGAAAAGAAGTATGGAGGAAGGTAATGTTGAAACAGTTGGCACTGAAGAAACAGCCATTAAACGGCCAGTCAAGTTAACTGAGAAGGCTGTTGAAGAGAAACTGCACAGGTTGCTGTGCACCAGGAGAGGATTTCTAGCTCGACTTACAACTCTAAGGAGGGAAGTTACCAGTTTAATCACTTTAGCTGATAATTTGCCAACAGTGAAAGCGATAATACAAGAAGAATTTATTCCAGTTCTCCAAGATTTTATTGACATCACTGAACAATTAGGTAAACTTTTACCTGAAGATGAGAAAGAGGCAGATATTAACAACTGGTTTGAGCCTAAAATGATAGTTATCAGACAGTTTATTGAAGAAACTGAAAAATGGATGGAGCTGGAGACATTGAGCTTCCAAAAGGCAAATC